TGCTCACACCAACCGTCCAATGAGTACTTTTAAAAAATATATATACATTTATTTTTATTAAAAAAAAACTAACATTTTACCCCAAATTCTCATGACTTTTTATTACTTTTATAATGTAAAAAATAGTTTATTTGATATAAGTTTTATTTCAATTAAAAATGTGTATGACTTTACTTTTTTTTTTCTTTCAAATGTAAAGTTATTTATTAAAATCTAAACTCCAACCCTTGCTGTAATGCAAAAAAGATGTACTTTTATTGTACTTTATTATTTAAATAGCTTATTATTTGAAAGAAAGTCGAATAAATTGAAAATGAAAAATAAATTGAAAATTTGTGTGACGTTATGTTCACACAAATTTTCCAATGAGTACTTTTTACCATAGTACTGTACAAAATAAGAAAGCATTTTTTATTTTACGGCCAGGACATGTTTGTTTAGGGGTTTTGTTATGTTTTGTCCTGAAACCTGTCGTCTCTGTCAGACTCTCGGACTGTAAATTCTCCTGAAAGTGAATCTCTGTCTTCGTGTTTTCCTGCTGTCCTCCAGAATCCGGCGCTGATCCTCAGCAGGTTTATGAAAGCGGGAGTAAATCAGGGATCTTTAGAGATGCTATTAAATCTGCTGGACACACGAGGCTGATCAATACGTCCAGCGCTCGCCTTAACTTCACACATACATCACACTCAGACGGAGATATGAATCCTCTAGCTTTGTGACACTTTAGAATAATGTACATTTATATTCATATAAAGCAGGTTCCAAAAGACCGCACTGAAACCACTGAAACATGTTGATGCAATTTAATTCATTATTTATTCATTTTAATTAAAGCTGGAAAATCACTAAAACCTATTCATTGATTTTTTTAATGTATTTATTTGGTTGGGTATTTATTTAGTTTGTTAGTTGTGTATTTAGTTTATTTTTTATGTCAATTAAAGCTGCAAAACAGTTTTAGAATATACTACACTAAAAATGGCTAACACCTGTGAAGTGAATTGAATTTATTCACTTATTATTTGAATATTTATTTATTTATTTAGTTGGTTGGTTATTTTATTTGTTTGTTCAAAATAAAGATGCAAAACAAAGTTTTAGAATTTTAAAAAGTTAGGAATAATGTATGATTATTACTAAAATTACAAAAACCTGTGAATTAATTAATTCATTAGTTTGTTTGTTTGTTTTTAATTTCAATAAAAATAATTGTAGAATTTAGAAAGTTAGAATTAATGTACAACACCACCAAACTCACTCAAACTACTTTTGTTTGTTTATTTATTTATTCCAAAACAAAAAAATTTTTAATTATAGTGAAATATATTAACATAAGACATTTTTCATATTCATGTTTTTATATTTTTAATAGAAGAAATATTACTTTTTATTATTGTAAAATGCAATATACACTTGTAGTTATGAATAGAAAAGTGCTAAATCGACATATTCTGCTGGTGGTATCAGACTTTGGGACCCTCTGTGAATTCTAATATTTGCACATGTAAGTAATATGTGAATATTCATAAGAATAATATTCATATTCATAATATGTGTGACAGTATGTGTCTTAACGACTTCCTAATGAAAGACACATACATACACTGAGTGCTAGGAATGAATCTGCAGGAGGTGTTTGTGTTTGTCACATTCACAGCTTGTTTCTGAGAAATAAAGCGTAGTCCTAATGATGATGATGATGATTGTGTTTCATACAGCTGTGTGTGTTTGGTGCTGATGTGTGTGTGTGTGTGTGTGTGTGTGTGTGAGTGAGTGTGTGTGT